GTGTGTGTGTGTTTGTGTGTGTGTGTGTAGGACTACAACGGGTGGAGCATATATCGTTATGCTCACTATTTGACAACGTCGCAATGCATCCCGATCTTTAAATATTATATCATTATGCATACTATTTTGGCAACGTTACAATGTATCAAAATTACATTCATGATGTCATTGCGAAACATGTATTAACATGTCGAATGTCCTTAAAAAATTTTTTATTACACTAACAAAGCTGTCGCATATCGACGCTTACATTTTTTATCTCTCGCTTGTGTTGGTAGAACAATTCCATATGCATTCCTGAAGAAATGTGATGAAGAGGACGAAACTTAGAAAGAGCTTGGGCAATGAGCAAAATTGCACTTTCTATGTATGCAATCAAATAAAATTAAACTAAATAATGTTGCAATTGGTGACAACCAAGGTGACAACATAATCTTTCATAATCGGTCCAAGATCTTGTGATAGAAATCGTAAAAATGCGTGATGCGAATGTGGTCAAATTAACATTGCGCGATACATGTCTGTATATGAAGCTGTCAAACGTGCTCTTCATGTTCAAACTCGAACAATGTGTCGAGAATGTATACTCTGAGCTGTGCCAGCATACCATCAATGAAAAATTTAAATCAATATTTAGTCCGACTCATCGATACGGTCGATGTCAAGTATACGCGATTCTCCAACATCGCTTCCGAAGACGTTATACGCAATAGCGATAACGTTTTGTCGTTCACATCAAATATATGTACTTGCTTTACTTCCCATCCAACCTATCCTATGCCATCTGTACCTATCCATTGTAAGAAAAAAGAACTAATAACAAGTATGAAAATAAACGCGAGCAATTCGTAGTTTAAAATTAATTTTTATTTTATATCACTTACTTGGTCACGTGACATTTGTATCATATTACATTGATGATATCATCATCATGACATGTAAAATGGTTTTGGGCGCGTAAAGACAAAGAGAGATAGGAAAAGAGAAAAAAGAAGAAAGGGAATAACAGGTATGAAATTAAACGCGCGCAATTCGCAGGTTAAAATTGATCTTTTTTATTTTATATCATTTACTTGGTCACGTGACATTTGTATCCTATTACATTGATGATATCATCAGAACATGCGACATGTAAAATGGTTTTGGGCGCGAAAAGACAAAGAGAGATAGGAGAAAACGGCAACGCATCGAGAGAAAGATGGTAGATAGGTATATGAGATAGCGCGGGATCCGCGGCTACGCACAGTAGGGACAAATGAGTTTCCGATGACAAACTACCTTTCAGACTGCATTTCTGAACCAAATTTAATGAATTTTTTTTTTTAAATGTGCGTAATAAAATTCTCTAAAACTTTGTCGAAGCCAATTTTAAAAAAAGAAAGTTGTTCGTTAATAATTAACTGTTGAAATTGATAAAAAATTGATATGCTGATCTATCACCTCGATCCAGCGATCCATAACATTGATTATTGGGCCGGAAGAAATGCATAAACAATTTTTGAGGTCGCTGATTACTAATCTGAAGTTAGATTTTGGAAATTCAAAATGGCGGATCCAATATGGCGGACAAATTTTTCAAAACTCCAACCATTTTGAGTGAAACTTGTTACTCACGGGTTTTCGAGGTCGCTCATTACGAATTCAAAATGGCGGATTCAATATGTAACAAGTTTACATTTCCATTCGTCTTGGTTCTCGGCTAAAATTTTAAGAATGTATATCTATATGTCTATCCAAAAATGAAATGTCAACTTGATTTCTTAATACGTGTTACATTATTCATTATTGGGTCATGAAGACACTTTCTAGACTTTCTATTAATTAATTTAAATTTTTTATAGATTGTTTATGCATTTCTTCCGGCCCAATAATCAATGTTATGGATCGCTGGATCGAGGTGATAGATCAGCATATCAATTTCAACGGTTAATTATTAACGAACAACTTTCTTTTTTTAAAATTGGCTTCGACAAAGTTTTAGAGAATTTTATTACGCACATTTTAAAAAAAAATTCATTAAATTTGGTTCAGAAATGCAGTCTGAAACGTAGTTTGTCATCGGAAACTCATTTGTCCTTACTGTGCTACGGCCCGCGACGCATTTCGGGGTGATGGGTGCTGGGTCCGCGGCGGCTGCGGCGGCCCCAATGATGGCGGCACGTATCATTGTTATCGGTGTTTACGTAAACACCGATAGCGTCGGGACCTTCCCAGCGCTTCCCCCTCCTCCCCGCGCCAACAAGTACCCCCCGCGCCTTCCCCACGCGCCTACCAGTACCCCCCGCGCCCAGCACTCCCCACGGAGTTCACGAGTTAGAACCGCTACAGTATATCTACTGACATGTATGAAACATAAACGTACTAAACGTTAAGCGTTAATATATATAGTATTAGGCTTATTTAAAATATTATTAATATTCTTAAATGTAAAAGTATGTTAAATTTCAATACGCTTAACTTTTAAGTGAGATGTGGATGGGGAGGGGATAATGAGAGAAAGGAATATGACAGAACAAGTACATCCATGAATTTTGTTACTATTATTCTTTATTTAACTTTTTTTCTTTTTTATCTTTATTTTTTATTTTTATATTCATATAATCTATCTATTTATCAGTTTTTTTAATATTCCGGAACGTACGCCGACGGGATGTATTCTGGTGTCGTCGGCGCCGGGATGTATCCGGGTGTCGTTGGCGTCGGAAAGTATCCTGGTGTCGTCGACGCCGGGATATATCTCGAAGATGAAGGGATGCCCGGATGGGCATTAAGCGGCGTATTTCCATCTCCGCCGCTCCTTCGTCACCGCCCTCCGCACC